AATTTACAAAAGATGATGAAAACCATTGTATTATGAAGGTTCTTGTCGAAGAAATTTATACTCATGATTTTCATGTGTCAATTGTAAACTTTGAAACGATACTGAATTGAAACATTCAAAAATGACATATCCAAGAAGGCATCTGTTTCAAAAAAAAAAATCCAAGAAGGCAAGATAGAAATGTTCACTTGCCCAGTAGAGTTGCGAAGCTCAGAGCATATGCAAAAGAATTCTTGTTTTTAGCTCTCCGAATTGTTTAAGTATATGGCAGTTACGATAAGATTGATTTGTATTGTAGCTCTCCTTATCTCTAATCCTTCCTTATCCTTATCCATGCATTCTCTAGTATACATGGCCCCTGAGACTCAATACAACGTGTCTATAGTTACGCGATATTCTCTCCCTCTTCTACTGTTCAACATAGTATCAGAGCGGTTGATCTAGCATCCATCTCACACATCCGCCTCCGCTGCCCCCAGGAGTAGCGAACTTCTTGGGGCAGCATCCGTTTTCATTTTTTTCGTTGTGCTTAGCCCATGAGGATCGACCTTGATCTCCTCTGGCGAGCCTAGTTCTTCATGTCATCGTCTTCATGTAAAGCAGCAACCAACAGTTCATCGTCAACCAGTGAGACCGCCCAACGCCGTCGCCGATGCCATCCTACCAGGGGGACCACCCAACACCATTGCCGGTGCCATCCTTCGCGTCTCCAGCTCATCGCCAACTCCATCCTTCTCACTCTCCACACCATCTAGGCTCAGCTTGGCCACCGCCTCTACTCCAGCCGTGTCGTCCTCTCCAAATCTCGGTCGCCAGCACTGTTCCAAGGGGACCCGCCACCGACCACGCTGATCTGCTCCGCCCAAGCCGCCGGGACTCTGGTCCACGGTCATCGTGGAATGCTCGGCTCTCTGCCGCTGGCCCCATCACCCTATGACCCCGTCTTTGTCATTGACATAGTGGCCGCCTCCCGTTCCTCTAGATTCACAGGTCAGCAGCTGCCTCGACCCCGCCACCGCTTCGGGGAAACTCTCCACGTGGTTGTGCCCATTGCCGCGGCCTCGACGCGCAGATCTATCACTGCGGTGACAGGCCACTTGTTCACCATCAACGCTGCCACCTCTACGCACGCCATCCCTCTCCACTGCCTCCATCCTTAGAGCGATTGCTTTCCTCAGTGAGCTCTGGCCCCGATGACTCATCCATCTCCAGCTCCTCTCCACGCCGACGTACCTCTTTGGCTCCACTGCCGGCCACCAAGTCTTCTCCAATGGGCTGCTCCTGACGCAACCCGGATTCCACCGATGCCACCGGTGCCACCGATGCTCGCCCCAGGGCCGGTCGACCTTTATGCCACTCGCCTCGTGGAGCCCCTTAGCCCTTGCTGCTCCTCTCCTAAGTTGACCTTGTGGCTGGCCTGCTCGAACTCCTCTTTGCTAGCTCTCTTTGAGAGCAGGGAGAGAAAGGAGATTTAGGCAGTCTGGCCAGTGGTCTATGGACCATGTGTATGGACCATTGAGGCATGAGAGGAGCAGTGATGGATTGCTACTGTGGACCACTATTTGCTGCCTATATTTTTTTTCTTTCCCGGTCATCGATCGGGTTTGCGTCGCTCACTGCTTCATTGGCATATGCGCGTCTCCAACATTGGCATCGACTTCAACTTCCTCTACAACTCCCCACCCTACGCAACTTTGGCTTGATCACCTGTTCAAGCACCTAGCTACAATGACACCCTACTACCGATCGTCTTCAAGTACATGTCTATGCCATCAAGCTTCGGCCGATCGCTGCATCACCCCTTCGGGCCGCAGTGTCGCTACCTGTGGTCCTTATTCACTAGTTGTGGCAGTGCTAAGAGGCGCCCTCCTAAGCATGGCTTCATCACTGGCAAACCCGGCGTGACATCTCGTCCTACACAGTTCGACTGCATGGCTCTTCGGCGTCATCTTCCATCATGACTACCGTGATTGCGTCAACATCTTCATCCTCAATGCGTCCTCGTGCACCTTGGTCCATGATGCCCTCCCGCATGCATGTGACCACTACTTGCACTCCTTGTGCACCTGTGGCTCAGCTTCCTCGACATCGGCTTCCCAACTTTACCTACATCAACCATGGCTACTCTACACACGGCTTCATCGACCACAGCTCCTTCGCTTTGACTACATCAACTATTGTACAATAGGGCTATCATCCGTGTTGAGCACTCTTGAGGGTTTTTTCTCCAGTCTAAGCGTACGCGTTGCTCACGCTTAGACTACGGGGTATGTTAGAATATATGGTAGTTAGAGATGTATTACGATAGGATTGATTTGTACCGTAGCTTTTCTTATCTCTAATCCTTCCTTACCTCTACCCATGTTTTCTTCTATATATACTGGTCCTTAAGGCTCAATACAACATGTGCAACAGTTTCGTAGTATTCTCTCCCTCTTCTACTATTCAACACAAATGTGTCTATTCGGTTAGCTTGTGTTGGTATTTGTTATGGTCACAGATAAATCCACAAGTGCACAGATACTGCTTTAGCACTTCACCTCAGAGTATTCCAAGAGTATCGAATCACAAGGAACGTGTGTGTAGAATCTAAGAAGGATTCATCCAAGGATAACAACTAAATGGTAGGCTTAGGATAGAGAAAATTCCTATGAGTTAATAATCTTAATTAAGTTAAGGTAAATTCTATCAATTGCTTCAGGCACCAGCTCTACCCTGGTCTGCAAGTTGAGTTCGGCCTGTAGCTTTATGATGTACCCGAATGTGGAGGATTACGAAAGACGGACAAGGCTGTCACCACCTCCCACCTACCTTTACATTCCGTGGAGCACACAGCAAACAAGGAAACCTCTAACCTAGACACTACGTCTACATTGTCGATTACTACTCTAGCCTTGACCAAGAACTTCCTCCTTTATCCAGAGTCTTAGTACTAGAGCATTTAATATAAATACTAAGGGACAAACCTGCAATGATGAGAATATATCTCACTTAAATAAGAAAGCATCCGTCGAGGTACAAAATCGGAGAGAGTGTTGACATCTCCGGCACTCCTCCGAGACTCCCCATGCAGAGAACATCAACATCTCCAGCACTCCTCTAGAACTCCCACGGAGAGAACTATGACATTTGGGGCACTCGTTTCGGATTTTCCCCTCACTCTCCTCTTATATTCTAACTAGCCCAAATATGAAAGTGAGTTGTATTCCACTTTGTTGTGTCTCGAGAGTGAGGGCTTTTCCTCCTTTTTAGAGCTCCAATGATGGTGGTTTAAGTCGGTAACTTACCGGGAGTCAGGTATAACCACCATTGGGGAGGCCTGAGGAAGTGGCACGTGGAAGCTTGGGGCGATGGGTCGAACTAGTGGTTCGGCCGAACCACTTTCACTGCCTTTCTCCACTATTTTCGCCCGATTAACTGTTTTGTGGGCCTTAATGACGGTGCACGGTGAATTGCCCTCAAATATGTCGGTTTGCTCTGACTTGTGAGCCCTCCAATCCATGTACATGCGTCTGATTGGCCAAAGGTGTGTTTCTTTGCACAACAGATGTGTTTTTCATACATAATTACCTACATACAAATATTCACTAACACTTATGGAAATGATTAGTAATAAACACAACCACTAAGTTTGATATTTTATTTCATTCACTTTTGTGCAGGAACTTGTCAAATTTGGTATTTGAGTACCATCAACAGCTTGCCCAAAAAAAAATAGATAGTCAAATTTGCATTTCACTCCAACCGCCTCTCTACCACTCTCCAATATGACAGTGGGTCATGTATATCAACCTCTCTTTAATTCTTCCTTCTCCCTCACACTAGATTTTTTCCCACCCACCCACCCACACCTATGCTAGACTCCATGACTGGCCGTTGTCGCTACTCCCTTCCTCCCTTGCAGTTGAGCCGTCCTGCCACCGCCGCGACCATCCGTGGCTGCGAGCCTTCCTCCCGTGCGCAGATCGGGGGTGTCATGGCTGACCCAAGCTCACCGTCGCCATCGCACTGTTCCTTTCTCCTCCCTCGCTATTGCGTTGCTCCCTCTACTGTCAGCTCTCCCCTTTCGCCCACACACGGATCTAGATGGGGGCCGGTGGATCCAGGCAGTGATGATGACGCGGGTGGGAGGCGGTGACGGCTGGGAGGCCGGAGCGCTCCTTCACTAGGTGACCTCTAGGTGTTATCACGGGCAGCGGATAGCGGTAACGAGGTCGCAATCTTGATGGAGGAGTGTGGAGAGGTCGACACTTGGTGTGGACGCCAATCTACTCCTCGCTGGCCTCAACGTGATCGGGTCGAGAACGACAACCGAAGCTTGGCACGAGCGTCGGGTGGAGCTCGATGTGAAAGGCTATCGGAGCTCTATCTGGTTCCTCACCAGCCTCGTTGAGATCAGGTCTAAGGCGTCAGATTCAACGCTTTGGCACGCATTGTATCCTCGACGATGGATTGTCCCCATGGCCAAGGGAATGGGAAGGGAGGCAGCTGCTCGTCGGAGAAGCCTGCCAATGTTTCTCGTGCCGAGGGAGGAGGGGCGACCGAATACAATGACAGTGAGGATGGCGGGTGGCCATGAGCGAGAGGAAAGGCCGAGGGGATGCGGCCGTTGCTACGCGTGAAAGAGAGAAAACGTGGTGGGCCGAGGGTTCGTTTTAGCCTGCAGCCAGAGTAGCTAGAGTTGCAAGTTTGTTGGAGGATGTTTTTCTCTTTTTATTGTTAAATTCATTTTGTTGTAGATGGTCTTGTACGTCTGTCGATGTAAATACCTTTTCATTTGCATATAACTGTTCCGTTGGGTGCTCTCCCGCAATTTAGAACAACATTTTACTGTTCGGCGCAACTTGCTTTTTTTTTTTCCTTTTCTTTCTTTCTCTCGATCCAGCGATGCAAAGCTTGATGGGAATGATGATACCAATCTGACGGCCGAGATTTGTGAAAGAGCAGTCCGCATGGCGTACAGAAAAAACAGAGCTGCAGAGAAGGGCATAAGAATGGTGTCAGGTCTAGCCCTCCAATTCCCAAAGACGAGACGACTTTTGTTAGTACTGTTTGCCTCCTCGTCCTCCTCCTCTTCCCTCCTCCATGGTGCCGCACCCGCACAGCACCACACCACCTGCCTAGCGCCAAGCTCCAACAGAAGCCGCTAGCTTGAGGCAAGTCCAAGGAAGGGGGGAAGAGGCAGGAGGATGGGATCCCCCAAGATGGCCAAGAGCGCGATGAAGCAGGGCATCTGGCGCCGGAGGATCGGCGCGCCCTTCGCCGCCGTCCTCGTCGCCGCTGTCCTCGCCGTAGTCGTCTTCTCCGGCCAGTTCGCCAAGGGCCCCAACGGTCAGTCTGCCCGGATTCCTATTTCGTCTTAGTGCTCCAACTCTCTATATAGACTACAGATATGCTCCTTCCCCAGTGCGATATGCGTGCGTACTTAAATTTCGAGTCCTCCCTCTTATAGCTTCCTCGCAATTTGCTCCGGTACAAGTTGACAACACCCTGCGGCCCACGCGCGATAAGCCGGTCTCCGCAGATCAAGGCAAGAAGAACAAACCTTAAAGCCTCAAGGATTTTTAAGTCCTATTTCCCATTCCTAATTCCTAATTCTTGAGGTTATTTTGCATGATTGCTGTTCAGACTTGGAGAGAACGGTTTCTTCAAAGCTAGAAGGGGAGGACACTGAGCAAATTAGACTTGGTAAGGTTAGATATAGAAAATGGGGATTTTTCTTTTAAATTATTGGAGCTCGTTGATCTTTTATGACATTCCAAGCCGGATTAGTCGAATTTTATGGTTTGGGTTCGGAGATGCAGAGGATGGACAGTCTCCCAACAAAGAGGCAGCAATCGAAGAGCAGAAACCATCCCAGGCGGCTGCTATTGATCAGGATGACAATACCTTAAATCCTGGTGCGATGTGATTCTTGCTATACTGTTTCACATGTCCCAATTTAGTGGCGATTTTCTTTTCTTTTTTTTTTTTGGAATTCTGACTTCTGAATTGTGACAAAATGTAGGGCTTAAACAAGCTTCTGGAGATGAAAGGAGCGCAGGAGGATCTGGTAAGTGGAGCTATTTTCATTGCGACCAAGGTGGTCAGTACTACTATTTCTTTAGCATGCTATATCTTATTTTTTTACTTTTTCTTTGGCTCCTGAATAGACTCATTGAGCAAGGAATCTCCTCCACAAAGTCAGGAAGGAGACGGAGGCACAGCAGAGTCAGGTACTGTACAGATACATGCTTAATGTAGCTGTCTGTTTGTATGTTTTTCATACACTACTGACGATAAACAGACTAGCTTTCCTGGAACTAGTACAGCAGCACGGATAGTGTTCCAACTTCACCTGCACAATCAAGGACTAATAGAGCAAAGAGAGTTATTCAAGAGGGAGGTTAAAGGGGAAAAGTTGTATTGGTAGTAGTAAAGTTGATCCTTGCGGTGGACTAAAGCTACCAGTGAGCCATATGCTTTAGATGCACCACATAGAAATGCATTGTTTATAGACTTTTCTAGCAAGTAGGAGCTAATTATTCATGCTGGTGGTCCATGTTAGGAAGGCTTGTGCAGCAAGTAGATAAAAGCTGTTTGTGTTGTTGGGGGAACAGGGCTGTAGTGCCATGGGCGGAGCTACCATGATTCCTACGTATTTCCAGGAATACCCAAGTTTTTTTTTATCAAGAAACAAGTATACTTCAATATATGCACATGTACACGTATTAGTTAGCCAAGTACTCTTCCTCACTAAGATGTGTAAAGATGAAAGGTTTAGAAAAGTGAAAAATCTTCCTGATCTTTCCATTATGATTGTTGAAACAAAGTTGCACAATAGACATGAGATTGTTTACAAGCTTCTCAAATTGATTCTAGTACTTCCAGTAGCAATAGCTAGTGTTGAAATAATCTTTTTTGCCATGAATTATGCGAAGAATAAATTGAGAAACAGGCTAAGGGATCAATACTTGAATCATTGCTTGGTCACATTTATTGAGCGTGAGGTTTTTTTGAAAGTCAAGGACTGTGATATTATAAACCGCTTTCAAACCATGAAGGAACGTAGAATTAAAGCTACTCTTCCAAGCCATGAAGGAACCGAAATAGAAAATTAGAGGTACCATGTAATAATTTATAGTTTTATTTCTTCGATTATCGGTATTGACATACTGTGAACCATTGATTTTTTCTACTATGAACTTTTTTTTGTTAGACGGGAATACCCAACTTTGAAATCCTGGCTCCGCCACTGTGTAGTGCTAAACTGTGAAAATTAAAGAATAATTTTCACTGTCCTAGGTAATATTGCAGTTCGAAATCTAAACATTAGGAGGCTACTACTTCAACATAACATTTTTTTGGTGGGGAGTTCTCTGGAATAAAATGGGTATAAGTCCGCTAGGATACAGGGGCCCTGTGAGCAAGCCTGTCTATTTTCGTCGTGTTATTAAATTAGCCTTATTGAGAGCTTGTTATGCCATCCATATTTCAGTATTTTTAGACCGCTCAGGAAAATAACATTACGCCACACTTTTGAATTGCACAAAGTCAAGAAAAAGAGAATGATATACACCTAAGTATTTTTATTGCGTTGTTTTCTTGTATTGCCCAGACCAATGTCAGGGGCATGGCAGGAACAGAGAAAATATTGTGGCATGGCAAGGATTAGCCAGTCTTGTTTTGTAATTTGTGGAAACATCATTTGTAGAAACCCTGTTGTCATATTTGAATATTTTATTTGCTAGCAGACACAAAATAGAAATCTCCTCCAGTGCATTCAAAATTTGACACCACAAAAATGAGAAATTTGAGAGTTATTTTTACACGCTGATATTTCTTGACAATTCAAATATATAACCTCCAGTTTTTGCTAAACAGGTGCGGAACCGTACATCAAGTGTACGGCTCAATCTGACATAAAGATCTGTGACCTCTCCAACCCCCGGTTTGACATCTGTGAGCTGTGCGGCGATGCTCGCACCATTGGACAGTCCTCCACTGTTGTGTATGTCCCACAGAACCGTGCTTCCAATGGTGAAGAGTGGATTATCCGAGCACAGTCCCGAAAGCACCTTCCCTGGATCAAGAAGGTGACCATCAAATCTGTGAATTCCTCAGAACCAGAACCAATATGTACCTCCAAGCATCACATCCCAGCCATTGTCTTCGCACTAGGTGGGCTAACAGCAAATGTCTGGCATGACTTCAGTGATGTCCTTGTCCCACTGTTCCTTACTGCCCGTCAATTCAACAGAGATGTCCAGCTTATCATCACCAACAACCAGCCCTGGTTCATCAAGAAGTATTCTGCAATCTTTAGCCGCCTCACGCGGCATGAGATTATTGATTTTGATTCAGATGGCCAGATCAGGTGTTACCCACATGTCATTGTTGGTCTCAGGAGCCACCGAGACCTTGGCATCGACCCAAGTTCTTCTCCCCAGAACTATACAATGGTAGACTTCCGGTTGTTTGTCCGGGAAGCCTATGGACTGCCTGCAGCTGAAGTGGACATACCCTATAAGGCTGACAAAGATGACCCTGACAAGAAGCCCCGGATAATGCTGATTGACAGGGGCAAATCCAGGAGATTTGTCAACGTGGCACATGTTGTACAAGGGCTGGATTGGTTTGGTTTTGAGGTGGTCAAGGCCGATCCAAAGATCGATTCTAACCTTGATGAATTTGTTCGCCTTGTTGACTCCTGCGATGCAATCATGGGCGTGCATGGTGCGGGCTTGACTAACATGGTGTTCCTGCGGTCCGGGGGAGTGGTGGTGCACATTGTGCCATACGGGATCAAATTCATGGCTGATGGGTTCTATGGTGCACCTGCACGGGACATGGGTCTGAGACATGTCGAGTACAGCATCAGTCCAGAAGAGAGCACACTGCTGGAGAAATACGGTTGGAACCATACTGTTATCAATGATCCTGAAACCATCAGGAAGGGCGGATGGGAGAAGGTTGCGGAGTTCTACATGTCCAAACAGGACATTGTGCTCAATATGACAAGGTTTGGACCTAGCCTGTTGAATGCAATAGAGTTCATTATGTAAGTTTGTGAAATGAGGTTTTTGTGTTTGTTTTAGCTACAGCATTCTACAGTCACGAAAAAAATACACTTTTTTGTTGGCCATAGGTGGAATAGGTATTGTTGTTTTAGTGCTGCTTCTGTATAGGATTGTCGGTGTTAGATTTGAATAACCATGATCAACTGTTACAGGAAAGATGACAATAAACCTGTGTGCTGAGTTTTCTTAGAGCCAAACCCCAAGTCCATATATTGGTTGCTTGGAAACGAGGGCTGTTTTGGTTTGTTGCCAAAAACATGTCCTACCAAATATCTGGGAGAAACGCTTAGGATCGGGTGCTCGATGTGGCAAAAAAAAAAGGGTGCCACTAATGTGACTGCACGTCTGCACTACTTCCTCTTTTCTCTCTCCTACTCTCGTAGGCTATATTTTTTTCAAAAACTTTTTCTCCAAAATTGCATACCTAATCTGTAACCTGATCACACCGTTGTATTTATTATAATTAAATCTCGTATATTTTAATGAAAACAATATATATGTTTTCGCCTTTGATATTCGATGTATAATACGTTTAAAGAAAATGTTTCAACTAGCGATTTGACTAGCGATTTGACTTTGTTGTACTACCTCCATTTCAGGTTATAAGACTTTCTAGCATTGCCCACATTCATATAGATATTAATGAATCTAAGCACACATATATGTCGAGATTCATTAACATATATGTGTGGGCAATGCTAGAAAGTCTTATAATATGAAACAGAGGAAGTACATATTAGGTTTGTGTTGCAGAAAATCTTCTTTCAATGGTGCATGTGGTGCTTTTGGATATTTCAACTGGCATCTCATAATGTGTCATTAGTTAATTTGCAAATGTTGCAAGCGATGTTCTTGTATTGTTTCAGCAAGTATGTTATGGTGTTTCAATAGTTACAACTCCATATTTCACGTATCATACAAAAATGTTTCAATTAAAAATACAATTGAAATATAACATTGCAAGATCTTGTTATAAATGTTTAATTGAAATGAATACGACGATTTAATTGAATCGTAAATTAGATAAATAGTTTAAGAAGTAAAAAGGACATAGATATATAATAGTATGCAAAGCATGGGATGCATGCATGCATGGGTAACTAGCAGCGAGAAAAACAAAGATAGATGCAGGAAATGACACGTGAAATATTAACTAGATGTTTGGTAACTTATATAATGGAGTAATGACTAGATATTTGGATTGGTTCTATTATCTGCCAAAACAAATACAGTTAGGGAGGGGATGGGGTTGAACCCCCCCCCCACCACCTCATTTTACCATATTTGAAACCCCTTGGTCCAAGATAGTGCACCATCTTTAACCCATAATGCATTAAAACAAGAGAGAAAAAAGCAAGCCCAGAACGCGAGCAAGAGAAGGCCAAGTAGCAGGTTGCTGGTGCACGTCGTGGTCGTTGCCCTATCCTAGGCGCGATGCCCCGATCACAACTACACGCATGTCACCTCGACTTGTCCTCTCTCTTTTCTTTCTTTTTACTACAAAAGATGCCTATGCGTGTAGTTGAACTAATCCTTGGCTTTCTACTATTTCTATTCAATCCTTTGAGCATCTAGTTGAACAAATCTCCATGTAGCAAAATCTTGATAGTATATGGAGGTGCGGGCGTATATTTTTCTTCTCCACAAATAACAAACTCTGTGGCAAACAAGAATTTCTTCTCCACGGATAAGTAACCTAGGATATAGTTGGTGATCAACAAGTAACTCGTGCATGTGCCTCTCCATATACTTGCCAAGGATATGCAAACTCGCTGGCAATTGGCACAGGATCACACACCCAAAGTCACAACAATCGCAGTAGAGTGAGAAGAAATTCTTAGTAGCGCACAACAACAAAACAAAGAAACAGCATTCGAATTTTTTGAACAATTTTCTGGTTTCTATTCCTTCTTGGAAACAACTCCATGACTCTTTAATACATGCTATAGCATGGAAGTTGCTACTATTTGTAGTATGTATGGAAGTTAAGTATCTGTGCATAACACACTCACCCGTGCAGGGACAACGCATACATATTCACCCATGCATGCAAAACACACACACACACACACATTCATAAATGCATGTGAAACATACTCACTAATGCATCCACTCAAGAATGCATGCAAAAGAATCTCATAAGTGGAATGTGTAATACCCTCACAAAAAATAAATCGAAATTGTTTGATTTATTGGTTTCGGATTGCTTTGCAATATAATAGCATCAAAATAAATAAATAAATAAAATACCTTTAAGTCATGGGCCCAACCAACCTGGGCCAAAGCCCAAGAAGTCCAACCCACTTCCTCCACCCCCATCTAAAACCCTAGAGGAGGAGGTACCGGATTCCCTCCCCCCCCCTCGTACTTTGGTCTCCCTCTTCTCTGCATCAAACCTTGCTCTCCCTAGATCTCCACCTATAGTGCTTTAATTCATGGTAAGTGAAGGTTAGAGAAGGGGTTTTGATTGTGGTGGTTCGGTTTGGTAGTGCTCCACGTGGGCAAATTTACAGTGTTTCCGTTTTTTGATGTTTTGGGGGTCTAAATAATATTTTCTACAAAAGTACTGTATAACTAGGAAGTTGTAGGTAATGCATAAACCTATCTTCTGACCAAAGGGCGCGATTTTATCTCATTTTGTTTAGGCGATATGAATTTTTTAGTATGATTGTTGCTTTTTATGTCATAATTTGGATAGCAGTAGATTAAACTGTTTTTGGAGGGGTTAAACAGTGGAATCAGTTAGGCCGCCTATAGATAAAGTTATAGAGATTTTTCTTAGTATTTCCATATGGGAACATATCCTATGGACACAAGCTTCTCGTGCACACTCCGTGCACACCACCAAGCAAATGCCACGAAAAATTCTATGAAAAAATTGGGCATTTACTTCTAATAGTATTACACGTATCTGCAAAGTCTCATATTCAAATTCATTATATTTTAGCCGTAACAAAAAAGTGAAAAAATTGACAATTTTTAGGGTAAAAGTCTATAAGAATTTTGTCTTTTTTGTTACTGCTAAAATGTAATGAATTTGAAGATAAGATTTCACATGTTGGTGTAATACTATTGGAAGTATGTGTCTAATTTTTTTCTAGAATTTTCTATGATATTTGTTAGTTGGTGTGCACAGAGTGTGTATGGGAAGCTTGTGTGCAGAGGATATGTTCCGTTTCCATATTGGTAAAATATATGTTGTTTGGTTGAGTAGAACGCTAGATATAACTATTTTAATGTGGCTGTCAGATTTTTGTAGGCAGATTCTGAAGCCTGCTTTCAAGCACGGATTACACTATTTAAATGGCAAAATAAAAATATGCTTTCTATGTAAAAGTTGTAGGTCTTATTATGTAGTTTTCTAAAATATATTTATTTGCAGTCATAGCCTTTTTATATTTCAAGATATAAAGCTTTGAAGCAACACTATTATTTATAGTCTAAGCAGTGCTCCTTGTGATTACGTTTTGATGAGACGGGGCCGCATGTGCATTTTTTTTCATTGTTTTATATGCATGTTTGAGTGCGTATGCTGAGGTCGACTTGTGGATAGGTGGTGGTGCTTAGGATCATGCTTGGTATCATCTCTTCGTTGTTAGATGCAAGTAAACGTAGCGGTGGTTTGCTACAACTTTGACATGTTATTTTGTTCTACATCCACTTTGAAATTATATATCATCAACCAAGATATTATTATATGTTAGACATAGGATTTACCTATCTGAATCATAATTATTGATTTTACATTGTTTATGGTTATGTTTTATGCTTTTGGTGAGAATAATGATATATTGTTTTCCTATGAAGGAATGTAGTTTTCATATTATTACTCTGGAATTCAACCTATATTTGCATTGCATTTGGAGTTATCTCGCGAACCTATAGTTGCGAATGTACCGGTACAACATCGTATATTGACATAATATGATGCAGCTTCACATCTTATTGGGTGTGAAGGCAGGAATACATATCATTGCATCACATATGCACACATTGCATATTGCTATGGAAGTGATCGAAGTTGTCATTGAGGAGTGTCTGCATCTGTATAATTTGAGAGAAAGTGAATCTACTTTCATTGATGATGATATGAGATTTTTGCTCTTGGATGTTACCTTGTCTTTATATCACATCTTAGCCCTATATCTAACCCATTACATAATGAACTTGTGGTTTAAATAACTTGTTAAAACAATTTGCTTGTTGAGATTCATTCTCACCACCTTATAGCCTTTTCAAGTACTTGGTCAGATATGTTTGCATGAAGGGATGGTATTAACTGCACTATCGCACGACATGATCTCACTTAGTTATGAATGTTGTAGTATGCTGACAAGATTACTTGTGTTTAGACATAATGAGTTAATTAAATACTAGAGTTGTTGATCATGGATTATCTAACTTTTTTTAGGCCATCCCTACATGTCAGTCAGTTGTTGTATCATAACCATAACCTATATATTGATGCTTGCGCTATATCATCTTTTTGTTTTAAAAGAGATGATGTCGAAATTTCTTTATTTTGGCACTTTAGTAATGTTCTTTAGTGGCATCTCAGGCTTATGTAGTTTTCTAGGGTGTTACAGAATGCCATGTGGCCACTTGCAACCACCCACCAATAGGAATGCCATGTGGCCACAAGTCCACAACCAGGAGTAATTGTTGACGGTCGTTATAGATCAGTTTGACCGTCAATATAAATTAAATAAAGGAGAACTAGCTATACTTGCTATGCATATTTGTTTTAGAATAATATATTTCTACTTGTACTTGGAGTACTATTTGTTTGCAGAGATTAGCACATAAATGAAGAAGAAATGAAGGAAAACTCACTCCTAAGCAAGCTCAAGGATAGAGGGACCCACATGTCAGGTGTAACCGTCCTGAAAACCGCCATAAGTACCACAACCGTCAATAGGACCCACCTATTAGTCTCTCTGCCCGAATTTGGAGCCCTGCTGGGCTGGCCCATGTTCAGCCAAACCCTGGCAGCGGCCGTTCAGCTCGGCCTTACATATGGACGTCTAGGATTGCTTGCTGATGGCGGTTGCGGGGCATTTCCGACATTTCGCATGCTCTACAACCGTCATACATGCTTATTTAAGGAGTGCTTCACTTCACACACACACACACACACACTCAAGCAAGAAGCTTTGATCTCTCTCTCAAGTTTAGTTTAGTGCTCTAGAGGTAAGTG